ATCTCGAATAGAGTTTGTTTGTGATCATACGAAAGCCAGTGATGATTCCGACTGATGATCCTTTTGTATCGCGATATCATATGTCGAACATAAGGCATGGACAAGCCACCTTATCTGATTCGACTGCTTTCTCGTTCACTGAGTTCGACTGTCTGAAATAGACGACGTTCGAGGCGCCATCATGGAGCTTACCGACCTCACGCCAATCCGACCTGAACCGGACGTTCTTCGGATCCATCACCGGGACAACACATCCAAGACCGTCTACCTCAAACTCGAACAACAGGGCTTACAACCGACCAAGTTTTTCGGTGACGATTTTGATCGCATCGGAATCCATGACGAGTTGGTTCGCATCTTTGATAGGCTCGGGTGATCGAGTTTTCTGACAGTGCATGAGAAGAGTTTCAAGACTTTGACCTTGGAGTTCCTCTCTACCATCCAGTGCTACTTTCCGAGCGATGGCAGTACAGCGAATGCCTACATGGAATTTCGGATGCGGAATACCGAGTACCGCCTCTCAATGCGTCAGTTCTGTTGGGTTTATCTACGGGTTCCTAGCATGCGATCATATCGATCTAGGGTTTGGTTTACTAGGTTTCGTGCAGCGGAAGAAAGATCTAAACCTAGTCAAACGTCACACGCAACCAAACTCGCAAAACCCGAAAGATCGTGTACTCTCATAAAAAAAACATATAGAAAGTATCAATACATCGAATGTATCTGAACAAAGCTCATAATCAGTACATCATAGAGCACTAAACCAACAGATACGTGTAGAGGGTCTGTAACTTCAGTCCTAGGTGATTTAGAACAGGCCCCGGATCGAAATAAACTTCAAGTCTCATCAAGAACGAGGTAAGTAACGATTCCCTCGGTGATATACACGATCTTTCGGGTTTTGCGAGTTTGGTTGCGTGTGACGTTTGACTAGGTTTAGATCTTTCTTCCGCTGCACGAAACCTAGTAAACCAAACCCTAGATCGATATGATCGCATGCTAGGAACCCGTAGATAAACCCAACAGAACTGACGCATTGAGAGGCGGTACTCGGTATTCCGCATCCGAAATTCCATGTAGGCATTCGCTGTACTGCCATCGCTCGGAAAGTAGCACTGGATGGTAGAGAGGAACTCCAAGGTCAAAGTCTTGAAACTCTTCTCATGCACTGTCAGAAAACTCGATCACCCGAGCCTATCAAAGATGCGAACCAACTCGTCATGGATTCCGATGCGATCAAAATCGTCACCGAAAAACTTGGTCGGTTGTAAGCCCTGTTGTTCGAGTTTGAGGTAGACGGTCTTGGATGTGTTGTCCCGGTGATGGATCCGAAGAACGTCCGGTTCAGGTCGGATTGGCGTGAGGTCGGTAAGCTCCATGATGGCGCCTCGGCGAGGGGCCCAAGGTTCATTGTCCCGGAGTGTGCTGTCCCGACGCTTCAGACCTCTTTTGGGGCGGCCTTCGATCCGGCCTCGCTCAGCCATAATCGAAGTGAGGGCGGAAGAGTTGGGGAGACGGCGACGGCGAGGGGAGAGAGAGGAGGCGGCGAGGGGAGAACGAGGCGGCGGCGAGGGGACGGCGAGGAGAGAGTTAGGCGGCGGAACACGGGCACGGTGCGAGCGGCGACGCGGGTGATGGGAGAGGCGACGCGGTGGTGGTCGTATAGCGGCGGAAGATGGCGGCGAGAACGACGGCGGTGGGGCGCGGTGGCAGCTGCGAGGGGATGACACGACCGAGTCTTGCGAATACAGAATAAAAAGGCCTCCCGACAAGCGCTTGTTTTAGGTCGTTAGCTGGACCTGGCAAGGATTCATTGCTCTGCGGGATCAGAGAGGGCGATGGCACCTCTCGTGTCCGATGGAAAAGCAGGGTTGTAGAGCGTCAGACGTTGCGCGTTAGTTTTGAATGAGCTTCCGGAATGATCCCATAGTTCGATGGCACCGTTTGGCGATACCGATTTGATCTTGAATGGGCCAGACCACCGGGATTTCAACTTTCTTGGAAAAAGTCACAATCGTGAGTTAAACAAAAGGACAAGATCGTTTACCTGGAAGTGACGCTGGAGGATGTGCTTGTCGTGCCATTTCTTCGTCCGCTCTTTGTAGATTTTAGCGTTTTCATACGCATCAAGGCGTATTTCCTCAAGATGATGGAGCGAGAGAACCCGTTTCTCGGCCGCAGATTTGATGTCATAGTTCAACTGCTTAATGGCCCAGTAAGCTTTGTGCTCTAATTCTACGGGGAGATGGCACGCCTTGCCATAGACGAGTTGGAACGGTGTCATCCCGATGGGGGTTTTGAATGTCGTGCGATAAGCCGAGACGGCATCATCGAGTTTGAGAGCCCAATCTTTTCGGGATTTGGATACCATCTTCTCGAGTATGGACTTGATCTCGCGGTTTGAAACTTCCACCATTCCACTAGTCTGAGGGTGATAAGGCGTTGTAATCTTGTGTTTGACACCGTATTTGAGCAGGAGGGCCTTGATCGTGCGGTTGATGAAGTGCGATCCCCCATCGCTGATGATGACACGGGGAACACCGAATCGTGGGAAGATCGTGCGTTTGAGCATGCGCACCACGGTTTTGTTGTCGTTCGTGGGATTTGCCAGGACTTCCACCCATTTGGTCACGTAGTCAACTGCAACCATAATGTACACATTTCCGCAAGAAGAGGGGAAAGGCCCCATAAAATCTATGCCCCAAACATCGAATGGTTCTAACTCAAGAATATATTGTTGGGGCATTTCATGACGACGGGATATATTATCCGTACGCTGGCAAGCGTCACATGAAGAGACAAACCTGTGGACATCTTTGAAGAGCGTGGGCCAATGGAAACCAGCCTGAAGAATTTCTGTCGCGGTTTTTGATGTTGCGAAGTGACCTGCGTAGTCAGAAGAATGAAAATGGGAAATAACACTGAAGATCTCGCCTTCACGGATGCAGCAGCGGAATAGACCGTCGATTCCTCTCTTGAAGAGGAAAGGATCGTCCCGGAAATAGTCCTTGACATCGTGGAGAAATTTCTTCCTGGCATTGTAACTCAAATCTGGTGGAAGGATTTCACTTACCAGGTAATTGACGTAATCAATATACCACAGAGCTTCTGGAAGAGTAGAGATGGCAAAGACATGCTCATCGCGAAGATTGTCATCAATGGGAAGTTGCTCTGGAAGTTCAAGGCGAGACAAATGATCAGCTACTTCATTCTCGGCTCCTTTCTTATCCCGGATCTCAAGGTCGAACTCTTGAAGAAGTAATATCCAACGGATGAGGCGTGGTTTAGCGTCCTTCTTGGAGAGCAAATATCGCAGAGCGGCGTGATCGGTGTAGACTATGACTTTGGAGC